AGTTTCTTTTCTTTTTTGGGCAGTTAGTCTCTATTCTTTCAATTAAGAAAAAAATTAGTATTTAGTATGTGGCAGGGGAGGGCGCCACACTAAATGCCAGGTATTCACTAGTGCAGTGATGGCGAACCTTTTGAGCTCGGCGTGTCAGCATTTTGAAAAACCCTAACTTAACTCTGGTGCCGTGTCACATATAGAAATTTTTTGATCTTTGCAACCATAGTAAAACAAAGATTTATATTTTTGATATTTATTTTATATACTTAAATGCCATTTAACAAAGAAAAATCAACCAAAAAAATGAGTTCGATTGTCACCTCTGACACGCGTGTCATAGGTTCGCCATCACTGCACTAGTGAGAAAAGGGAAATCTTTGCCATTTAAATTGAGGACAGGCAAGGAGACAGGAAATGGAAAGAGGGTACCCAAGAAATATGGAGAGGAAAGGAAGCAGTGACAAAAAAGGAGAGATGCCTGAGGTGGTGAGTGAGCTGACACCTGAGAAATGAGGAAGGGCAGGCCTGAAAGGCAAAGGCAGGGACAATCAGGCTGTGGAGCCTGACCTTGGGGCACCTGGCTCAGCTGAGGGACTAAAGGAGGGCCCTAGAGATCCTTCCAGAACAGAGGTGCCTAGGGGGTCTGCGCCTTCACACTCTCCCTCACTGTTTTCACGTTTTGACTCAAATGCCTTCTTCGCAGGGAGGTCTTCCCTGATCCCTCTATATAAAATCTACATGACCCGCCATGTCTCCATCTCAACATGACGTGTTTTGCCAATTTCTCTTGCCTCTTGCCTGCCTGCCCCGTTAGACTGTGAGCGCCACAGCGGCTGAGTTTCTGTCTGTCCCGTGCTGTGTTCCGCCTGGAACATAGTAGCAGGTCAATAAACATTTGCTAAACTAATTAATAGCTCTAGGAAGGCTTAACAGAAAAGGCAGCCATGGTCGAGTTCCCCTTGGACCCGCCCAACAGGCCCCACCACCCTCTGACCAGGGATGAAAGCGACTCCCAGGCCTACGCTTGGCCGCTTGGCCGACTCTGCTCAACTTCAGTCCAGCCTTACGCACGGCCTCAGGTCCTCACGAGTCTCAGGGCCCCAGGCCAACCATCTCCCATAGATCCCACCACCTCCCGCCCCACCCCGCAACCCCCTGCCGCAGCGGCCGGTGTCTGCTCTGCTCTGGGGTGGATGTGCGCAGCGTCGGAAGGCGAAGACCTTACCGTCCCTGACCGAGACACCCAGTTTTTGCCCAAACACATCAGCCAAGTCTTGGAATCCTGTGACATGCCATGCCCCTCGCTCCTTAGCCAGCCTTGCAGTTCCCAGCTGGTGGTGACTTGAAGACAGCTTTCCCCAAAAAAGAGGCAGCCCTCTGCAGCCAACACCACTGCCCGTGTCCTCATCCTTGAGAATTCTAACAAAGGAGGAGGAAGTGCTGAGTGTTACGCGGATATTGAGCGCTTGTTGTATTCCAACCCCTCCTCTAGGAGCCAGGGTTACAGCATTGACCCAGAGAGTTAAAAATTTCCTACTCCTGGTAGTTTGGGAAGGCAACAATTGGCATGATACATGTATAACATGTCAGAGGGAGCCCTGGGGCTCAGTTGGTTGGAGCATCATCCTGTGCATCTAAGAGTCGTGGGTTCAACTCCTGATCAGGGCACTTACCCAGATTTCGGGTTCAATCCCCAGTTCAGGGCGCATATGGGAGACAACTGATCCATGTTTCTCTCTCACAATGATGATGTTTCTCTCTCTCTCCCTCACCCTTAAATCAATAAAATTTTAAAAAATATTTAATTAAAAAAAAATCATGTCAGAGCGAGGTGAATGACATGGGGAAAATGCAGCCGAAGTTGAGGGGGCCAGGGCTGCAATGTCAGGGTCAGAGAAAGGCCTGTCTATGAAAATGACATTCAAGTAAAGACATGAAGAAGGTGAGGGCGTGAATCTGGTGAGAATCAGACAGGGATGGTCCAGCAGAGAGAAGAGGCTCTTCAAAGGCAGAGCCTGGCAGAGTGTAGGAAGAACAGGGAGACCTGTGTGGCTGGAGCTGAGTGAATGAGGGGGAGAGAGGAGGTGAGCCAGGGGGTGGACCGTGCAGATATCTGGAAGGCGTGGTAAGGACTTTGGCTTTTCCTGGGGATGTAAGATTTGTCAAGAGGGAGGAAGGGACTGATCAAAGGTCTGCTAAGAGGCCTATGTGGGTGTTGGGGACAGGGATCTCAGAATCTGCTTATCACTGGCCCAGCTGTTTGAAGAATGTGCTGTGGCTGTGGTCTGGGGGTGGGGCAGTGCTGGGCTCGCTCTGCACCTGGCATCCCCCCTACCCTGCTGTCCCTAGGCCAGTGATGGCGAACTCATGACACGCGTGTCAGAGGTGACACGCGAACTCATTTTTTTGGTTGATTTTTCTTTGTTAAATGGCATTTAAATATATAAAATAAATATCAAAAATATAAGTCTTGCCCTGACCGGTTTGGCTCAGTGGATAGAGCGTCAGCCTGCAGACTCAAGGGTCCCAGGTTCGATTCCGGTCAAGGGCATGTACCTCGGTTGCGGGCACAACCCCAGTAGGGAGTGTGCAGGAGGCAGCTGATCGAAGTTTCTAACTCTCTATCCCTCTCCCTTCCTCTCTGTATAAAATCAATAAAATATATTAAAAAATATATATATATATAAGTCTTTGTTTTACTATGGTTGCAAACATCAAAAAATTTCTATATGTGACTCGGCACCAGAGTTAAGTTAGGCTTTTTCAAAATGCTGACACGCCGAGCTCAAAAGGTTCGCCATCACTGCCCTAGGTGGTGAAACAGGTGCTCAGAGGCTGTCCCTGTCCCCCTGCCCTGGTCAGCTCACCAGGCAGTACAGATAGGGAGGATACACACCTGTCTCCCCAGGTGGAAACAGTGACCTTTAGCCCCTCAGACTTGTTTTATTTTATGTTTTTTATAATATATTTTTATCGATTTCAAAGAGAGAGAGAGAGAGAGAGAGAGAGAGAGAGAGAGAGAGAGAGAGAGAGAAATATCCATGATAAGAGAGAACCATGGATTGGCTGCCTCCTGCTCGCCCCCTACTGGGGATCGAGCCTGTAACCCGGGCATGTGCCCTGACTGGGAATCCAACCTGTGACCTCCTGGTTCATAGGTCGGTGCTCAACCACTGAGCCACGCCAGCTGAGCACATAGTTTGTTTTATTCTTAAACCTACAGAAAAGTGTAACCAGTGACTCAGAGCTACTAAGGCAACAGGGCCAGCCCCTCCCAGTCACTCCCCACCCCCAATGGTATCTCTGTCCTTTCCTATCTGACTCAGAGCTGTGTCTGTGAGACTCACACCACTGTGTGTATTATCAGTACTTTGCTCTTTTTCATTGGTGGAGAGCATTTCATCCTGTGGGTAGGCCAGAATTATTTGCCCCATTCCACTGTTGATGGGCATTTGAGTAGTTTCCCAATTTGGGTTATTATGACTAAAGCTGCTAGGAACATTCTAGAACTGACCTTTGGTGAGTGCGGCTCTCCTTTCTCAGAGATTGGAGAGTACAGGGTGAGCCTGTGAGTCTTCTGGGGCGACCATAACAAATTACCACACACTGGGGGCGGGGGGCCTTGAAACAACAAAGATTCAGTCTCTCACATTATGGGGGCCAGAAGTCAGTGTTACGGGGCCACGCTCCCTCCTGCGATTCCAGGGAGGGTCCTTCCGGCCTGTTCCAGCTTCTGGGCTTGTGGCCTCATTGCCCCAATCTCTGCCTCCATTGTCACATGGCCCTCTTCTCTGTCTCTCCTTTGCATGCCTCTTATGAGGATACTTGTCATTGGATTTAGTGCCCACTCAGGTAATCCGGAATGATCTTATCTTGAGACCCTTAATTATATCTGCCAAGATCCTTTTTCCAAATAAGATCCCATTCACAGATTCTGGGGGTTGGGACTTGGACATATCTAACTTGCTACTGAGATTTTTGTTCATCTATAGCAGACATGGCCAAACTGTTTCCAAAGTGGTTCTGCCAACCTCACCTGTATGCCCACATCTAAACCTGTGAGCTCTCAGACAGTCCAGGGCTTTCTGTGGCTCTTTAAGTGGACATGTGTCCTCCCATGTGTCAGCCATCTGGTACAGGGTCAGTGAGAGAAGGGCAGATGACAGAGTGGTGCCCTCTGCAGAGAATTAGAAAGGAAAAACATGACAGACCCCCCAGAGCTGGCGTTCAGAAATATTGAAAACAACCTTTTGTGGGGCTAATGAAATAATTACAATTACTGTTATTTTTACTAATATGGATGCAAGTTTCAAACATGCCTGTTTTAATTCATCTTTTAATAAACATCACCATCTGTGGGAAGTCAATTTGGAGAATTCCCAGTTCTGGACAAGCAAGGATGTGCCACCTGTGCTTCCTTCAAGAGGAGGTTCCTACCCATTTGCAGTTACTCTGGGCAATGTGTGTGCCTCTAACCCAGATGGGCTAGCGTATCCCTGCAGGGACACAGTAACTAATGAAAAAGGGCTGAGGACTGACTGTAAAAAGGAAAAAAACAGAATGCTTCACTTTGTTTCTGTCATTCTATGTAACCACCTGGAGTTATTAGTGTTTCAATGCAAAACAGCGTAATACGTTGCTTGGCAAGTACAAATGGTAGTTCCTTCCTGAACCACCATGCTGTTGAATTTGAGCAACTTTAGAATTGCAAGGTTTTCTTCTCTCTTTTTTTTTTTTAAGGTTTTTCTTTTTTTAAATATATTTTATTGATTTTTTACAGAGAGGAAGGGAGAGAGATAGAGAGTTAGAAACATCGATGAGAGAGAAACATCGATCAGCTGCCTCCTGCACATCTCCTACTGGGGATGTGCCCGCAACCCAGGTACATGCCCTTGACCGGAATCGAACCTGGGACCTTTCAGGGCCGACGCTCTATCCACTGAGCCAAACCGGTTTCGGCTCTTCTCTCTTTAAATGGTTAGACTGCTTTAAAACGAAAGAGCAGATCAAAACAATGGCATGTTTACTGGGAGTGTTACAAGACCATTACAGGAGGAGCTGTGAAGGGCTGGGGAAGTCACTGCTCTAGGCCACAGGCCACCCTGCCTGCCGGAGGAGACTCTGTCCTGGCCCTTCCCAGGAGCAGGCGCCTCTCGTCAGCCAGTCCAGATGCTTTGGGATTAGGAGTTCTGGGGCTGAGAAGGCCTGAGACCCTTATTCCCAGACATATCCCCATACTGCATGGAGGCAGAGGGGACAACCTCAGGCCAGTGGTGGGAAGAATGGAGCCGTAAGTGGATGCTGGTGTAAGGCTGGTGGGTGAGGAGAGGCATTCTTGAGGAAAGCAAATGCAGATGAGAGAAGTGGGTGTGGAGGAGGAGGTACATAAGCATAGGGCCCTTCAGGGCTGCAGGTAACCAGTGCCTTGAATACCTTTCCCCCATCCTGCCACCAGTGGGCGCCCAGGCCCCACACCTCCCTCCAGAACTGCATCCCACTTTGCCCACGAAAGTTGGGGCTCTGAGGTTTCTCCAGCTTCAGCACTCGTTGCAGATGACAGAGCCAGGCCTGGGATGATCTAAGCACTGCTGGGCCCCTGGCATACAGTAGGCACTCAATAAATACCCGTTGGAGGAATGCATGAGTGAACTGAGGGGCTAGGGAAGGAATCCAGAAGAGTGTGATTCCCATGATCAGAGCCAGGAAGCGCTGAAAGGGTACTCACAGACCGGGAAACTAAGGCCAGGAGAGGGGAGTGGTCTGGCCTCAGGTCATCTGCAAAGTCAGGGGCTGAGCCCATCCAGCTCTGAGACCTGCATATTGTGTGCCCCTTGCCCACTGCCAGTATCCATGCTACCAGGAAAAACACAGCCATGATAGTACAGAAGAGCAGATTGTCCCAAAATGAGTGTGGGACACCCTATCAGGAACGGGGAGGCAGAAGACAGCGCCCTCACCCAGAGTGGGGGAGGGTTTGCTGAGCCACCCCCCACACGCCCTCACTTCTCACATGACTGATGTCTGCCCTCTTGCTCCAGAAGAATAAATGAAGAGAATCTCTGACAACACAGGAAGATGAGGATGGCCTGAGGGGAGGGGCTCTGGCTGCTTCCTTTGCTGGGGAGGCCTGAGATGAATGCGTGGCCCCCAAGCAGGCCTGGAGAAGAGGCTTGGGACCTATAAAAGCCATGTTTACCCCGTACTCACCCCCCATCCTCATATAGTCCCTGTCCTCCCCTCCCAAAAAGTGTCAGACATTCTGAAGGGAGGTGGGGAATAGACCAGGTAGAGGGGATGGGGTTTGTGAGATCACATGTGTACACGCTGTGAGAGCACAGTTGTGGATCCCACTACCACCAGTGCATCCACACATTTCTGTGGCCAAGTATGCCCTTGTTTTAAAAAATTGCTTGTAAAAACTATGTAGAAATATAAAAGGGGTGAACAGCAGCATGGCCTGGAGGAACCCCTTCTAGAATTGCTGAGGTTGTCAAAATTATCTTTGAATAGTCATGGGGCTGTAAAGTAAACCATAAGGAATATAGTCAATAATATTATGATAACTATGTATGATGCTAATTGGGCACTGGAAATACCAAAGGGAGCACTATGTAAGTATATGATTGTCTAACCACTAAGCTGTACACCTGAAATCAATACAAAATTGAAAGAGAAAAGATGATCTCGGAGCCTTCTGGTAGTCAGCACAAAAGGGGAAATGAGTGTGTTACAGTGCCTAGTTAGGCATGTGTTCTAGTGGGTATGTCTGTCTGTGACAATGTCTCTGAATACATTGTGGTGAATGGGTAAATGGCAGCAAGAAGAGGGCACAGAGTTTCAGGGAGTTACATAGTGAGGAGCTTCCTGGTAGCCAAGGCAAGAGGGGAAACGGATACATTACAATGTCTCCTTAGGCATGTCTTTCTATGGGCCCTGCTTGCATGTGAGAGCGTCTCTAAGCAAGTGAGTGTGAGGCAAGGGGAATAAAAGTAGACACAAAGTTTTTGAGTAAAAGAAAGCTATCAGTTTCCTGGCAGTCAGGGTGAGAGAAGAAATCAGTTAAAGAAGCAATTCAGTGTTTTCTCATCAGCGCCTGCCTACTGTGAGAGTGGATCTGACTGACGGTACGCAAAGGTGTGTAAATGTGTGAGGGAGAGGTACATAGCTGTGGTGGGAGATAGTTCTGAGCTCCTTGGAAGCCAGGCAAGAGAGGAAATAGGTTGAGTTTGAGCCTGGTCAGGCACATCTTTCTTGTCTGGGGGCTCAGACAGGGCAGTGTCTGGCAGCCAGGCGAACTCGGCTGTCCTCGGCGGGGCTCCAGGGCCGGGCGTAGCCAGCATGGGGCAGCAGCAGCCGGTCCTGAGTGCCATCGGGGTTGACAAGGCGCTGGGCAGCCAGCAGGTACTCTCGATGGAGGGCCATTGGTGGGCAGGGGCAGCGGCCAGGTGCCCACACATACTCGAGGGACTGCAGTGGCGAGCGGTTCTTGTAGACAAGCTGCACACGCACCTCATAGCGGGTCTCCTGGGCCTGGCGGAGGTGGCCCAGCACTCGAGCCCGGAACACTGTGGGCAGGGTGGTGCTGATGCCCATTGGATGGTCCAACCTGGACACCCATTCATGCACCCCGTTGCCATATGAGGAAACTTGGGGTCAGGTAGGACATGGGGGGCCCCTAGGGACTGTGGAGAGGGTCCTGGGGTCAAGATCAGGTCAGGATCAATGAGGACTTAGAGGTCAAATTAGAGCAAAGGGCCAAATCAAGAAGTCAAATTAGGGCCAGAAGGGATCAAGTTGGAGTCAAATCAAGGACTCAAGAGTAAAGTCAAAACAGGATCAGATGTCAGCAGGAAAGTAGCCAAGTTTAGGTCAATTAGGGGCCAGGTGAGGGTTGGGGAAAAGGGTCTCTCACCAAAGTCACTGCCGCAATAGTGGAGCAGCCGGTGGGCACGACCGCGGGTGTCGGGACAGGGTGGGCAGGGATCTGTGAGATAGTGCAGTTAGGGCACACGCCCCGCCTCCCTGCTCGCCCCCATAGTGGCTATTCCCTGCTCACCTGGGGTGGGCTTTGGGGTCCGTGTGGGGAAAGCAGCCAGGGCTTCCTGGGGCTCAAGGGACTGGGGCTCCACCTCCAGAGGCTGCGGCTGCCTCAGGGACCAGCCCAGGGCCTGGGCCTGCTCCTGGAAGGGGCCATAGCGCTCCCTAGGGAGCCAGAACTCGAACTCAATTCCGGGATTGGGCTCCTGCAGGAGGACCTAGGGAGAAGGTCACACACTAGGGAGCCGAAATCAGAACTGGTGGCCCAGCCTCCATCCTCTGGCCTTCTCCTGATTCTCTACCCTAGCCTCCCTCCTCTGACTCTCTACCTCACCCTGGCCCCTCTGACACTCTCTCTAATCCGATCTCACCCCTCTGACTCTCTGTTCCTAGCTTCCCCACTCTCACTCTCTATCCCAACTCCCCCTCTCTGTCCCCAGCCTCCCCGGGGTCCTTTAATCCCTACCACCACCACGTGCCCAGCCGCCCCCTGGAGGCCCGGCACGCACCTGCAGGAGCAGGTCTTGGGACGTGGGTCCGGCCGCGCGCAGCGTCTCCTCCGGCCCCGCAGCGCGGGTGTAGACCACGCGGGTGCCCGCCGCCTCATACGTCCCGGACGGGCTCACCTCCCCGTTGCCGTTGAGCACGTAGCGCCCGTCGCCCCCCATCAGCGCTGCAAGGGAAGGGTCAGCCCAGGCTCCCCGGAACCCGCCCCTCCACCTCCCGACCCTGCGTCCCCCTCCTCCGGCCTCAGTCTCCCGGCTTCATCGAGGCGGCCAGGAGGGCGCCTCCCCCTCGGAACCTCTGCGGTACCCAGGTGGTTTCGGCTCCGATGGGCGGCGTAGATGTGCCTGGCGCCCTCGGGGATCAGAGTCACGTTCCAGTATCCTGCGAAGGCTCCTGGGCGGGAAGGAAGGAGGATGCTGCGGTGCGGGTGGCGGGTTGTTTGAGGGATGCTTTGAGGATTAAATGAGATACTGAGGCTAAGGAGATTGGCCTTGGTACTGGTACCCCAACAACGGTCTGTAAACGTTTGGGGTTAAGATTAGTATCGCCGGGGGGAGGGGGGGAGGGGGGAAATTAGTATCGCCTAGCCCTAGCCGGTTTGGCTCAGCGGATAGAGCGTCGGCCTGTGGACTCAAGGGTCCCAGGTTCGATTCTGGTCGGGGGCGTGTGCCTTGGTTGCGGGCACATCCCCAGTGGGGAGTGCGCAGGAGGCAGCTGATCGATGTTTCTCTCTCATCGATGTTTCTAACTCTCTATCCCTCTCCCTCCCTCTCTGTAAAAACCAATAAAATATATATTAAAAGATTAGTATTGCCTAAATGAGGGAGCGAAATAGTTAGAACCACATCTGTTCGGAGAAGGGCGGGACAATCTGGCAGTGACCAATCAGAATGATGAACGAGAGGGGGCTGCGCCGCAGGCTGCCCAATCAGCACGGAATTCACTTCCGTGCCTGCGGCTTCGTAAAGGGTCGGCTCTGGGAGAGTGGAGAGGGCGGGGCGAGAGGTCACCGGTGTCACGGAACACGCGCTGCACGAAGAGGCACGAGTCGTTGGTGCCGCCGCAGCGACCACAGTGGTCCTCGCGGGCGTCCGAGCCCATCAAACCGTCACAGCCGGCGTTCTAAGCGGATGGGAGAACACATGTCAGAGACTGAGTCCCCTGCCCCAGCCCGGGCCTCGGCCCGGGAGAGGGGGGCGGGTTCTGAGAACGAGGAGGCGGGCCTAGAGACGAGGGTGGGGCCTGAGATAAAAGAGATGGGACCTGGGAATAAAAGGATGGGCCCAGAAGGCGGGGTCTGGGTGGGGCCTAAGGCGAGGTGGGGGCGGGGCCTGTGGAAGAGGGCGGGGTCATGGAACAAAAGGAAGGGGGCTTGGCGGGACTTGAGAGTGAAAGGGCGGACTCTGGAGAGAAGCTAGGAATGAAGTCTATGGAGGGGCGTGGCCCGGTGGGAGGGGAGGGGCTAGGAGGGGGCGGGACCTAAAACTAAATGAATTCGGTCTGGGGTGCGGTGGGAGGTGGGCTGGGCTGGGCGGGTCCTGGCAGTCCTTACAAGGCAGCGGCCAGCCACGCAGAGTCCCCGGCTACCCCAGCTGCAGGGAGTACCATCCAGGACGCGGCCAAAGCTGTGGTAGAAGGCATGTCCCACGGCCAGGCAGTTGAGGTCGCACTGGTTGGGCGCTGGGGGTGGAAGGACAGAGTGGACCAGGGGTCTTCTATCCCAGTTACAGCCCCCTTCCCGCTAAGCCTCCCAGAGAGAGCCACCCCCTTGGGCAGATGAGGCCCAGAGACTCAGACAAAACTGCACATGCAGGTTGAAGCAGGGCCAGGACTGGGCTTCGGCATTTGGCCTCCAGCTTTCTGACCCTCCCAGGCAGATATCCTGGGCCTGCATGCATGCATTCATTCCACAAACACTCAAATAACCATTTCCAGACGTGATTCTAGGCTCAGCGTTGAGCAGAGCTGCACCCAGCAGGTGCCCAATAAAAAGTGTTTGTCCAGTGCTGACTGGGTCCCGTATCGCATGTGTCTTTAGCCCCAGGACTCAGCTTCCCCCTCTGCTTGTCAGCAGGACGCAATGAGCAGTCCACTCACTCCAGCCCATAGTTCTGACTCCTGCTCCTCCCATCTCCCTCAGCTTGGCTGGCTGACCCAGCCTGGAACAGCGCCCCAGCTGGCCCTGGTGGGCTAATGCTTAGGGCAAAGGGAAAAAAACACGATGAGGTTTACAAATGGAACTTCCTTTATTCTAGGCTTTTCTTACCTGTGTCTGCCCTCTCCATAGCATCTGAAGCTGCCTGTCTCCCTTAAACCTAGAGGCATGCTGCCCCCAGCACACAGTTATATAACTCACTATTTTCAGCTAAATACTGGCAACATTTCCTGCTACCAAGATAAGTTTGAGAACTGTTGGCCTCTGGATTCAGCCCTGAGTAAATCCTCAGTCTGGTGTTCAGCCCTGTGCGGAATAGACCCAGCCTCCCCCTGCCTCTGCTTTACATCTCACACATGCTTTCCCCCTTCCCTTCACCAACTCCTACATATCCTTCAAAGCCCAAGTGCTAATGCCTACTTCTCCTTACAACCCTCCAAGTCCCATTCTTTCTTAGCAGCCCCTTCTCCCTGCCAGCTCTGAGTTGTTTCCTCTGGACCAACAGGAGGGCAGGCTACTCACCACCATAGAAGGGCACCCATTGGTAAGTCTTCTGGGGGCCCAGGACAGGGTGGCCATTGTAGAGGGCACACTGGAGGTCTCGGAAGGGCATGGCTCCTGGGGGACAGTCCTGGGGACAGAGATGGGTGGGTTAGAGGCTGGGACAGACTCAGGGGAGTCCAGAAAATCTGGCAGGGTGGCAAACATATTTGGGGGCATGAGTGGGGAAGCAGCAGGGCTTCAGGGCAGACTCGAAGGGTCTTGGAGGTGGACAGAACTTACTGGCAGCTGGCAGAGGCGGTACTCATGGGTGTCCCCCCAGCACAGCTCTTCCCTGGGGAACCTGTGAGGAGCAGGGTGGCCAGACTGTGGTCAGGTTTCCCAGTAACCTCCTTCCCAGAGCCCGCCTGCTAGCCCCTCACCCTCCCACACCAACCCTACCCACATTCCAGGTGCATTCGTAGGATTAAAAGGCACAGCATGTGTGGGCAGGTCAAGGGTGTGTTCAGGGGCTGGGCCTAGCTGGCAGGAGGGAAGGGTCAGGAACCCGCTCAACCAAGCCCCGGCTTCGTGCTCAGTGCTCACTGCTCACCGGACACAGCGCCGGCTTCGCACAGAGAGTCCCTGCCCACAGGAGCTGGAACAGCGGCTCCAGGAACCCCATGGTGTCCACTCCCCTGGACCCTACTTGGAGAAAGAGAGGCATGGTCAGCATGGAGGGGAGGTTGGCAACCCCCACATGGCTATGGGGTCTCCATGCCCAATGCTCCCTGGGCTCATATCCCCCCCTTACCTGAGCACTGCCTCCCAAACCACAGTTCAGGAGGGTCCATAGCAGGAGCAGGAGGTTCCAGAGGGGGTGGGGTCTGGGGAAGCAGAGGGAGTCTTTGCAGTGGAGGTGTGAGCAGGCCAGGGGTTGAACCCCAGCTCTGCCCTGACTAAGTGATTTGGGGCAGTAACTGAACCCCTCTGGGCCTCCCCTTCTTATATCTGAAAAATGTATTCATAATACAGCCCCCCCCTCACAGGAAATTTTTGAGAAGTCCTTCGGATCAGGTAAGAAAAATGGGAGGCACAGAGTCTGGAATATAGATGAGTTCAAATTATTATTATTATTACTATTATTGGTTGTTTATTGTCTTATGATGCACACAGTAGGTGCTTAATCAGTGTCTAATGACAGAACAAATCATTCCAGGATAAGTGCACAGGTGTCTCCAGGGTCAGGGCGCCTCACTGCTCTCTCCACCATCATTGCTTCTACCTTCCTGCACGGCCAGGGGCCAGCAACTCCCCTTCCCCAGGTGTCAGTTTCCCCATCTATGCACTGGGGACCAGCTGGGGTCAGTCCAGGACTCTGAGACCTTGCAGAGGGAGCAGCCCATAGGGGCTGGGTCCCTTCAGGGCTCCATCCGATCCCAAACCCTCGGCAGCAGGTGTTTCCATATTGGAGAGGGGCAGAAAGGGATAACCTGACCCTGGGCCAGCCAGCACCTCATGGCTGCAGGAGCAGAGGGTGTGGGATGGAGGGCCAGGGTGGTCTGGAAAGGGAAAAGGGCCCCTGATGAGGATGATGCAGAAAACAGGGAGACAGCTGGGTGGGGGGACTGGGTTGGTAACTTTGCCTCAATTTTCCCGTCTGTCAGGAGAAATATAAAGCCACTTGCCATGCACACCCTCCGCGTGACCATGACATTGGCAGAGGAAGGAAGAGGGAAGTGGCCACCTGGTGAGTCCATTCTTGGAGCAGAGCCAGGGAGCCCAGCAGTCAGCAGTACCCAAAGCACACGCAGGACAAACTGGAATCCTCCAGCCCCCGAGCTCCTGGGTACTGGGTGGGGGAAGGCCGGACCTCATTGGATCTATGGCCCCTCTTGAGCCTCAGTTTCCCTGTATCTCAGGCCCTCCTGGCTATGGCATTTGGGGCAGGAAGGGTCTGGTGCTGAGTGGCTCCAGGTGCCGAAAGCCTGGGAGACCACCAGGTGGGCCCCCTCTCCCACCAGAGCTATGCCTGCCGGTTGCATCTCAGCCCCTTTCTGAACCCAGGGCCCGGGCTGGCCCAGGAAGCAGGAAGTTGGGAGGGGAGAGCAAAGATAGGGGAGGGGGCTGGTCTGAACCCCTTCCTGACTCAGCACTGAAGTGGGGATCTAGGCGATGGAAAATAAGGGGCTAAAAGGACCACCCTCCCGCTCCCCAGAGCCCCCTCCCCGAAGAGCAGGACGCTTACACCCAGTTTGGGCTGACGGAGGGTGTGACCTCAGCGCAAGCCACGCCTCTGGGCCTCAGTTTCCCCAGGAAGAAGTGGGGATGAGCTTTCTCTCACCCGGCGGATTGCTGCCTCACCGTACCCCCCACCCCCTCTCCACGAGACCCAGGAGGCACGGACCGGGGGGGGGGGGGGGGGGGGAATAGGAAGAGGGGCTTACCGGCGACGTAGAGCGCTGGCGGTGCGTCCCGGCTCTCCCGACCGCTCCAGGATGAGCGGAAGCGGCGGGGCCCTCGGAGGGGGGCAGGGGGACCCCAGGGCGGCCACTTCCACCCGGCCTCCCAGGGCGCGCCCAGCCCGGGGTCCAGAGGGGCGGCGGCCCGGTGCGCCCTCACGAGGCCGTGGAGCGCTTCCGCGCGGATCGGCGGCGGCGGACTGCCCCGCGCGGGCCCGGGCTCCCCTGAACTCTGGTCTGGTGTCTGAGAGTCCATGTCCCGGTGACCTTGTGAAGCCCAGGGCGGGAGAGCCGCGAGGACTCTGGCCGTCCTTACCCCAACCCCGGGACTGCTATTCCGGGCGCCGCGCTCAGGGCCGGGGAATGTGCGCGAACCGAGGTCGCCCTGCCCCGGTTCCGAGAGTCCGGGTCCCTGCCTCCTCTCCACCGACGCGCAGATGGCGTCCCCGCGACGGTTCCCTACCCGGTTCTCCGGCCCTTCCCTCAAGGTCAGCCTCCCCAGGACCCCGCCCGCTGCAGGTCCGATCCGGGGGTTCCCGCTCCACGCCCTGGCCACCCCAAGTGCAGGGCCCCCAGCGCACGGAGGAGAAGCTCAGCCCCAGGGGTTGGGCGCGAGGGGCGGGGAGCCCACTCCCTGCAGGCGCATTTCCGGGCGCTGCTGTCACCGCGGGACGAACCCCACCCCGCCTCCCGCCCTCCCTGCTAGGCCCCCGGACTGTGAGCGACGGCTTTGGAGCCAGACCCGGGTCCAGAGGTCCCCATTCTGCATGGCCCTGCCCTCACCCTCTCCGACCTCAACTTTCCCATTCGGGCAAGGGGGGCACCGCGACCCTTTCAGGTGGACGGCAGCTCTTGGCGCGGACTGGCGAGGTCAGGGTTACTCCAGGGCTCCCACCACCGCACCCTTTCCAGCGAGCCGCCTTCCCCCGCCCACAGGCACATAGCAGGCGTCCTCTGCCCGCCCCTCCCCCAGCTCCTCACTGTCACCCACGGTGCTCCGTGGTAGGTAGGTTGAGGAAACGGGGCACCAAGAGGGTCCTCTGCCCCCAGGCTCCGGCCCAGGGGTGGGCAAACTTTTTGACTCAAGGGCCACAATGGGTTCTTAAACTGGACCGGAGGGCCGGAACAAAAGCATGGATGGAGTGTTTGTGTGAACTAATATAAATTCAAAGTAAACATCATTACATAAAAGGGTACGGTCTTTTTTTTCAATAGTTTTATTCATTTCAAACGGGCCGGATCCGGCCCGCGGGCCGTATTTACCCACGGCTGGGCCAGACTCAGCTTGAGGGCCTCCTCTTCCTGGAAGCCCACCATGGGTCTCCCAGCCCTGACCACAGGGAGAGAGGGGTTGCGTGTCTACACTCCAGCCTGGAGCAGCTCACAACAGAGCCACCCAATGCCTTTTGTTTCTTCAACATTTATTGAGAACCTACTACGTGCCAACACACTGGTGAACCACCCAGCCAGCCAGGCTAGTGAGGGAGGCAGGCGCCGAGTTGGTCTCATCTTACCTTGTGATCAGGTGCTCAGAGGAAACAGCCCGGGCCCACTGCAGATGTGGGGGACATCAGGAAGGCCCTCATTGAGGAGGTGATTGCCACAGAGGTGGGGGGAAGGGCAGCCCAGGCAGAGGGCACAGCCAGTGCAAAGGCCTCGAGGCTGGACTAAGAGAATAAAGTTAGGCGGTGGAGTGGGTGGAGCAAGTGGCCTGAGTGGGGGAAGGGATGAGGTCAGAGGCAGGAAAGGAGCTTAGGGAGGTGGAAGAGTGCTCAAGCTTTGGAAAATCTACCCCTGGCTGCCATGGGGGAAAGAAGGGGGCCAGGAAAGTGGTGAGAGGCAGCAGTGGTGGTTCTGGGCAGGGGCTGAGCCAGGGTGTCCCTGGGGGTGAGAGCAGTGGGTGGCTCCCAGCTGTTTGGGAGTGGAGTCTGCAGGAGTTGCTGATGGATCCCACCGGGGGAGTGCTGGGAAGGTTTGAGTCAGAAGCTTGGCCTGAGTGGCTGGTGAAGGGAGGTGCCCATGTACTGAGGGCGGCAGGCTGAGGGGGTAGAGTGAATCCAGTGGTCACTTCTGAATGGCTCTACAGTGAGATGTCTGTGGGTCACCAAGAAGAGGCTGGGAATCCAGGGGTCATGTCTGGGTGGAGGTGAACAAGTGGGTATCCTCAGCACATGTGTGTGTCCTCAGCACATGTGGGTGTCCTCAGCACATGTGGGTGTTTAGTGTCATGAGTGAGGTCACAGGGACAGAAAGGGGCAGGGGGTGGAGAACAGGTGGGTGTGGGGTCCCAGAGGCCACACAGGCTTCTGGGAGAAATAAGATACAGCCAGTGTGGGCAAGATGAAGATGTGGACCAGTGGACCAATGGACCAATGACTTGGCATTGATGGAGGCAGTTGTGACCTTGATGAAGTTAAGTGTGGTTGGACAAGGCTGAAGAGAAGATGGTGGGAGAGGGAGGAGACAGCAAAAGCAGGCACTCTCTTCTGAGCACTGATTATGTATCACACTATGGACTGGGGCCTGAGCGTCATCAGAAATAAATCAGGCCTGGCTTGTGAGGCTCAATGGTTGAGCATCAACCTATGAACCAGGAGATCATGGTTTGATTCCTAATCAGGGCGCACGCCCAGGTTTCGGGCTCCATACCCAATGGGAGGCATGCGGGAGGCAGCTGATCGCTGATTCCCTCTCATCATTGGTGTTTCTGTCTCTTCCTCTCTGAAATCAATAAAAATATATTCATCAACAATAAAGATAAATTTTTTAAAAAGAAAAGAAAGAGCTGGTTTGGCTCAGTGGATAGAACGTCAGCCTGTGGGCTGAAGGGTCCCAGGTTCGATTCCAGTCAAGGGCACATGCCTGGGTTGTGGGTTTGATCCCCAGTAGGGGATGTGTAGGAGGCGGCCAATCAATGATTCTCTCTCATCACTGATGTTTTTATCTCTCTTTCCCTCTCCCTTCCTCTCTGAAATCAATAAAGATATATAAAAAAGAAAGAAAGAAAAAAGAGAGAAAGGAAGGAAGAAAGAAGGAAAGCAAGCAAGCTTGGCCCAGGGACTCCACAAAGTGGACAATTGTATCCCCCTCAGAGATGCCTCATTACCCAAGCCTCAGCCACAGTGCTATGGTGCTATGCAGGGTGTATACAGCAGGCACTGCACCCTGCAAAAAGTGCATACAACAGGCACTGTGTCCTGCATGGAGCAATACAGCAGGCATTATGCTCTGTATGGAATGTATGCAGCATGTACTGTATCATACAACAGACACACTTTGCTGTTCAGAGAGTGTATACAGTAGGTACTGCACCTTGTAGGGCGTGCATATAGTAGACATTGAATCTTCCAAGGAGTGTCTACAAGAGTCATTGTATCCTGAAGAGAGTGCATGCAGAAATCACTGCACCATGCATGGAGGGTTTAGAGAAGGTACTTTTTAAAAATATGTTTTTATTTATTTCAGAGAGGAAAAGAGAGAGAGAGATAGAAACATCAATGATGAGAGAGAATCATTGATCGGCTGCCTCCTGCACACCCCACACTGGGGATGGAGCCCACAACCTGGGCATATGCCCTGACCAGGAATCGAACCGTGACCTCTTGGTTCATAAGTCAATGCTCAACCACTGAGCCACGCTGGCTGGGCTACAGGAGATACTTCCCACAGGGCACATCTACAGCAGGCATTGTACTCTATCCACAAGTGTATGTAGCAGGCACTGAGTCCTGTAGAAAGTGCATACAGCAGGCACTGCACCCTGCATGGGAACCCTAGCGCTTATGGAATAACCAGATGGAGATGGGATGAAGTTGTGGAGTCCTGGGCCCATCCTCCAGTCTTTGCCTTCCCTTCATCTCTGTTTACCACCTCTGTCCTCTGACTATAACTCAGCTGGATTCAGCAGATCCCAGAGGATGAGGCCCAGAGCTTAGCTCAAAATACCTGGTGCAGGTGGTGGGGGTGGTTGTGAAGTTCAGAGGCTCCAGGTCCGGTGGCGTCTCAGTTCCCCAACCTGGACCCTGGCCCAGGTTCAGCCGGATTCCCCCTATCCTGAGCTTCAGCCCAGACACCCTGCCTCTGGGCATGTGGGTCATGACAGATGTGGATCAGCTGGACTCGGGCTCCCTCTGTGGTCTGTGGTCTTATGGCCTTGGGGCTTAGGAAATGCCTATGAGCAGATCCGATAGTCTCCTCCTGCCCCTTTCTCCAACTCCCTGTGCCACCTGTGATCCCTGAGGCCTGGCCATGTGGTCCCAGGACCCTCCAGCCCCCTGAGTTGACTAGGTGGAATGGTTCCTGCCATCCCTGCCCTAGAACCCACGGTCTCTGGAGCTGCTCAGATGTCCTTGGGCATTAATATGGGTAGAGCAGGACCCAGGACCCATCACGACTGAGGTCAACCATGTGAGCTGGGAATGCCACCCAGAAAGAGTCACCCTAGCTAGGGACATGAGAGGCAGGAAACAGAAAGAGCCAGATTCCTGAGATGGACCGAGCCATACCTGAAGCTATCAACCCAGGTTTTTTTTTTCACTTTAGCGACTTTGGGTGTCTGTGACTCCTGAGTAAGAGGTCTAATGAGAAGCAGCATCCTTTCCTTCACCCTCATTCCAGACAGGTCCTACTGCTCATGCACTGACCCCCTGACTGAGCCCTTCACCTACGGAGAGGCACCATTGCCTTGGGGGCACTCAGATGTGATGTGACACTCCTCACCCCTACTTTATGGGTCAGGACACTGAGGTACAGAGGGGTGAAGTCACACCCAGTGGGACTCAGAGGTCCTGGAGCGACTTCACACCCACACCTGAACGGGTGCCCTCAGCTCCTTTTGGGTTGGGAGTGTGGGGGAGCTTGCCTGAAGTGGGGATGCTCCAGGCAGGACCTGGAGGATGAAGGGGAACTGGATGGAAGAGGGTGTGAGGGAGAGGGTGTTCTCAGCAGAGGAACAGCCTATGCAAAGGTCAGGTGGCCAAGGAGCAGGGTGAGGCCCAGGCCCAGGGGAGGCCTGTGTGGCTGGAGCACATGAAGCAAGGGGGTCTGCTTCAACGCCAGAGAGGGGCAGGGGCCTCACATGGCTTGGGGGCTGGGGAGCATGGAACAGTGATTCAGAAATGGCAAGTCACTTAAGGTATGCTGTTAGGTGGAAAAAATTAGCAAAATCATACACAATGTGATGACATTTTTATAAAAGAAGAAGTATGCATGTTAATATAAACTCAGACAGGAAATTGAAGGATAAACCTCTAGGGTTGGCTACAACGATCTTGAGGCAGGGGTTATAGTTGATTTTGAGTCACTGCCTTATAGGTTTTGCTTGAGTTTCTTATAATGATCTCCTAATTCTTGTGGGTTTTTAAAATAAAATTTTAGCCGAAACCGGTTTGGCTCAGTGGATAGAGCGTCGGCCTGCAGACTGAAGGGTCCCAGGTTCGATTCCGGTCAAGGGCATGTACCAGGGTTGCGGGCACATCCCCAGTGGGAGATGTGCGGGAGGCAGCTGATCGATGTTTCTCTCTCATCGATGTTTCTAGCTCTCTATCTCTCTCCCTTCCTCTCTGTAAAAATTCAATAAAATATATTTTAAAAAAATAAAAAATAAAATAAAATAAAATTTTAATTTTTGAATCATTTTAGATTTACAGAAAGTTTCAAAGACACTACAAAGTCTACGCTCTGCCATCAGTAGTATAATATTCCTTCCCCAAAGGGTGCTGATCACAGGATCACAGTTTTGCAAAGGGGGCTGCCTGGCCTCCCATGCTGACCCCTGCCCAGGGTTCCTAAAGCCAGGGGGTCATGAGCTAAAGCTCTGGCCTGGCCGCCCACACCCTGAATCCCTACACCCCAGGTCACAGCTTCACTCCCCTTCCATTCTGCTTTCTTGCCAACCTGAGCTAACTCCCCAGACTCAGCAGATTTCCCTGGAGAACTGCAGGAAGCTTTGCGCAAAATACCTGCCGCAGGTGAGGGGGCAGCTGCTGAGACAGCAGCCAGACTCCCAGAGGTCTACCTTGGGACGTTCGAGGGGCTGGGCATGGGGTCACCCTGGGCACAGTCCTCTTCTCCTAGAAGGTGCCAAGGTGGGCACACCCGGGCAGACATGACTCACCCTGGCTCCAGAGACTTCTCTGGTCTCCTGGCCTTTGAACTGCACTGGACTTCCTCATGTCTGCACTCGTGAGCTTAGCCTCTGGGGACAGGCCCTCGTGAGCAGAGTCAGCAGGAGGGAACCCTGCCTCTGTGCTTCAGAAACCCCATGACTGCAGCAGGGCACTGCCTTGAGGCTGGCCCAGGGCTGTGAGTGGGGGAAC